TGGGGGAAATTCAGTTTACTCTCTCCAGCAAATACCATGGCCATGTGAGTGTTTTTGTTTGTTTGTTTTGTTATGTTTTTTTCCTAAGAGAAAACAAAGTCTAGTCTACATAAGGAAAAAATATCTCTCCCATTAATATGACTTTGATCCTACTTCTTGTTAAATAGTAATCCTGATGCTCTTGCACTATGGATAATTCAAACCCTTTTTGAGCTTATTGTTTCTTTCCCATTCTGCATTTTCACCCTCATAGTTGGAACGGGTGGATTGCCTCAGTACATTCCAATACACGAATGTAAAACACACACAGCTTTAAAAAAAAAAACAACACAAAAAAGCAAAACAAAAAAACCAGGGTGAGTTTAGATCAATTCACATTGCTAGTACTGCTGAAATAATCAGCTGTTTCCTAAGGTAGTTGCCCAGTCTCCAGTTATTTCAGAATCCATTGCTAAACATAAAAAGAATGCAGTTCTTTATTGGATACTTGTTCTGGGTCCAATGATAAAGGTAAGTGCATGGAATATAGAATTCATAAGAGCTGTGCAGTTTGTTCATATAGTAGATTCAAATGTAATCTAATAAGGAAAAATTCCAAGACTTTACTGTCTGCCTCTCCCTGGAGTTCTGTAAGCTGCCAAAAGACATAATTATGGTCATTGCTGCGTGTGTGCATTTGTCCACATACTGCCATTGTAGGTTTACAAAGTTAGCAAAGTTTGCTGTTCTTCCAGCAAATACCATGGCCATATGAGTGTTTTTGTTTGTTTGTTTGTTTTGTTATGTTTTTTTCCTAAGAGAAAACAAAGTCTAGTCTACATAAGGAAAAAATATCTCTCCCATTAATATGACTTTGATCCTACTTCTTGTTAAATAGTAATCCTGATGCTCTTGCACTATGGATAATTCAAACCCTTTTTGAGCTTATTGTTTCTTTCCCATTCTGCATTTTCACCCTCATAGTTGGAACGGGTGGATTGCCTCAGTACATTCCAATACACGAATGTAAAACACACACAGCTTTAAAAAAAAAAACAACACAAAAAAGCAAAACAAAAAAACCAGGGTGAGTTTAGATCAATTCACATTGCTAGTACTGCTGAAATAATCAGCTGTTTCCTAAGGTAGTTGCCCAATCTCCAGTTATTTCAGAATCCATTGCTAAACATAAAAAGAATGCAGTTCTTTATTGGATACTTGTTCTGGGTCCAATGATAAAGGTAAATGCATGGAATATAGAATTCATAAGAGCTGTACAGTTTGTTCATATAGTAGATTCAAATGTAATCTAATAAGGAAAAATTCCAAGACTTTACTGTCTGCCTCTCCCTGGAGTTCTGTAAGCTGCCAAAAGACATAATTATGGTCATTGCTGCGTGTGTGCATTTGTCCACATACTGCCATTGTAGGTTTACAAAGTTAGCAAAGTTTGCTGTTCTTTTTTTTTTTTCTCCTTTTTTGTCTTTTTTCGTGACTTAGTCAAAGGTGCTATTGTGCTAACCAAGCATTTGTGGTTATTCACATCTGAAGCAAAGGGTAAAGAATTTAATTTTCAGTAAGAAAAAGAGCCTCCATGTGGGGAATCAGGCACTCTCATTTTGCTGGTGGGAATGTAAACTGGTACAACTGTTTTGGAGGGAAATTTGGCAATGTCTAACAAACAGTTGTTTAAAACTGATTTTTTTTCTCCCCTGTATTAGATGACTTCAAAGCCGGTATTTAGTCTGAGTCAGCATATTCACAATACCTAATGGTAGAGGATAAGGAACTTTCGTAAGTTTTAGAGCCCCAAACTTTCTTATTTAGGTATTTTCTTAAAGTTCTTGAATGCAGTT